GCAGCCAAGGCCGCCGCTCCTCGTGTGATGGGCAGGGAGCCGGGAGCCTCCCCGGCCCCAGGGTGTGTGAGGGATGGGATCCCGGGCTGGAGCGGCCCAGGGCTCCTTTCCCCAGCAGATGGAGGCATTGCTTTGCTCCCAGTGCCAGCCCGGTCCTGCGAGAGCCGGGACTGGGGCTGGCAGGGGACAGGGCGGGCACTGAGCCTGCAAAGGGACACGGGGGGATTTGGGGAGGGGCAGTGACCCCTTTGGGGAGGACACGTGTCCCCCTCAAACATAAAACTGGTGCGAACATAACCCTACCCCATGGCAGGTGCAGCTCACGGAGATGTGGCATCTCCGAAGGGTAGCAGGTTAAAATAATGATGTTTTTACCCCAAAAAACAATGGATGGAATGGTTTAAAATATCTGTGTTTCAGTGTGGATGTACTCCTATTCGGAGTTTCCAAGCAAAATGGTGTTAATATATAGAGGGACCAAAAAAAAAAATCTGCTTTTTTTGGTAGTTCCTGCAGTTGCAATGGGTGATCTGGTCCATGGGAACAGTTTGAGTTCGGGACTTTCTGTAATCTCTTGGAAGCCCTGGATGCTCCAAGGCACCGTTTTCACAACTTTTTTTCCAGCTCCTCTTTCTCTTTGGCCAAGGGCACCCCGGGCTGGCTGAGCCCGTGGTGGGGACAGCAGTGGCAGCCGTGCCAAGGGCAGGGGTGGCTTTTGGGGGGCCAGGCTGTGCCCTGGGGCTGGGAGGATGGGCAGGGCACTGGAAGGGTCACTCTGTGGAGGAGAAACCCCCTCCCTCCCCCTCCTCACTGGCTCCTGCCCCACAGCCCCACTGCAGTGCCCACACCGTGCCTCAGTTTCCCCTGGCATATGCCCAATTTTCCAGCACCATCCAAAAATTTGGCTGCCTGTGTGTGCCTGTGCACATCTGTGCACTCCGGGGTGGATGTGATTCCTTTTAACCCCGCCAAATCCCAATTTTCCTGCCAGCACAACTCGAGGTTCTGCCTTTGCACCCTCCACTTTCAGCACACCCTTCTAAACACCGAATTAATAATTAATAATTGATTAATAGCAGCAGCAGTTTGTTAGCACACGTGCATTAATCATTTATTAGTTATTAATATGGACTTTGGTACCCTTGAGGAGGTGGTTTCAAATTGTTTATGTGGGGTTTGTGGGACTGATGGTGGGGATGGACTCAGGGGCTGCAAATCCCAGCAGAGCTCCGGGAAGGGGGAAAGGTCTGCTGGAATTCCAGGAGCTTCCCAGCTTGCAGCAGGTCTGGAGAGCTCCAAGGTGTGAATTAGGGGGCTCCTGCCCTTTCCAGCTCCTGCTCAGGCTTTGCCCACTGATTTTGCCTTTTCTTATTGAGGCATATGGGGAAGAGAAGGGGGATAAAAACCCAAATGAGCCACAGAACTTCCTTTTTTCCTTTTTTTTTTTTGTTTTTGTTTTGCTCACAAATACATCTCACATGCTTGTTACATAGAAAACTGTGCCAGGTCTGCACTGCCCTTGGCTCCCACTGTGAGGGTCCATGCCCGACCCACTCCCACCCCACTCCCACCCCCTTCCCAAGGTTAAAAAAACGCCAGACACCAAACAGGACCCTGGTAGGACACGGCATGCACGGCTGGGGGCGAGGGGCACCAGGCATGCAGGGCCACGGGGACAGCTGGGGCCACGGCAGAGATGATGGATGGATGATGGATGGATGGATGGATGGATGGATGGAGGGATGGATGGATGGATGGAGGGATGGATGGATGGATGGGTGGATGGATGGAGGGATGGATGGATGGATGGAGGGATGGGTGGATGGATGGATGGATGGATGGAGGGATGGGTGGATGGATGGATGGATGGATGGATGGATGGATGGATGGATGGATGATGGATGGATGGATGGATGGACGGACAGATGGATGGATGGAAGGACAGATGGATGGATGATGGATGGGTGGATGGATGGATGGATGGATGGATGGATGGATGGATGATGGATGGATGGATGGATGGATGGATGGATGGATGGATGGACGGATGGATGGAAGGACAGATGGATGGAGGGATGGATGGGTGGATGGATGGATGGATGGACGGACGGACAGACGGATGGATGGATGGACGGACGGACAGACAGATGGATGGATGGACGGACGGATGGATGGAGGGATGGATGGATGGATGGAGGGATGGATGGATGGATGGATGGATGATGAATGGATGGATGGATGGATGGATGGATGGATGGATGGACGGATGATGGGTGGATGATGGATGGAGGGATGGATGGATGGATGGACGGACAGACGGATGGATGGAAGGACAGATGGATGGAGGGATGGATGGATGGATGGATGGATGGAAGATGAATGGATGGATGGATGGATGGATGGATGGATGGATGGATGGATGGATGGACGGATGGAGATCAGGGATGGATGGATGATGGATGGAGGATGGATGGATGGATGGATGGATGATGGATGGATGGATGGATGGATGGATGATGGATGGATGGATGATGGATGGATGATGGATGGGGGTCACCCCGTGGCAGCAGAACAGGGTTGGGGGGATGTTCTGAGCAGCCACTTGTGCCCCACAAAGCTCCCAACCCCTCGGATGCTCCGGTGCCACCCCGGGATGCCCATCAGGGAATGGGCAGCTGCCCCCTCCAGCTCCCAGCCTGACCATCACTGGCTGGAGAAGGGACATCCAGCTGGGGAATATCCCTGCAGGAATAGGGACAGAGGTGGCACCTGCAGCAACCCCAGGGTGCACATGGGAGGAGGAAGAGGAGGAGGAAGCAATGAATTCCCTGGATCCTCCAGGTCACATCCAGGCTCTTCCATTCCAGCTTCATTCCTTCTCCCACACACAAAAATCCACGCCCTGAGGCCAAGCCAGGGCAAGGCTGGGAAGGGGTGGGATGGGAAGGCAGGAACCACTCCTGAGGCAGCAGGAGCAGCCCCAGGGACATGGACTCGTGGTCCTCAGTGCCGGAGGGTGCAGGATCTGGGATGGAGGTGTCAGCCAGGACATTCTCCTGGATTGCTTCTTCCCAGCTTTTCTCTCCTCTTCTTTCCTGGGCTGTAGGGCCTCCCTGCACAGGTTGAACCAGGTCCTGCTCTCCTGCAGATTCTGACTTTGCAACTCCAAGAAAATTAACCCAAAAGTCCTTTTGAACCCATAGGAATCCCAACCCCCCCCATCGGGTGGATGCAGAGACAGGGGGGACCTTGCATTGCCCTGGGGTTGCTCTTCCTGATTTTAATGATCTTGGCCTCATTTTGCCTTTTTTCCCCCCTTTTTTTTTCTTGCTGACACCTCCTCAGAGCCTGGCCCTGGAGGACTGTTATTGCTTGTGCAGAAGTGTCCCCAGGCACCCACATTGACAGATGCTGGATCTTAAATCCACGGATGAAAAGCTCTCAAGGCACATTTGTGCCCGGGAGTGGGGGGGGTCTGTCTTTGCCAAGGGGCTGGGGTTCCCCCCAGCCTGGCACAACCTCCCCAGTCCCGCATCACCCGGAAGACATTTCTCTTGGAAATTCATTAAAAAAAAGAAAATTGAACGAAAACCCCTACCAACAACAAGAAAAGAACCACAAACAACTACCAGGAAAATTTTCTGAAGAGTCCCTTACAAAAAAAGGGAAAGGATGGTGGGAAAACAGGAAGCATTTTTCTCCCAGGCCCAAACACTGTTGATCTTTTGGCTCAAGAAATGCATAGTTGGTAGCAAAAACCTCGCTACATCAGGAGCCCCTGGGACAGCCCCTGAGCCCTGAGGGCTCTCCACAGGGCTGAGACATCGGGGTCATCCCTCCCTGACCCTGAGGTCCCCACGCTTCTGACCATGCTGGCTGTGGCACCTCTGTCTCCAGCCATGTCCCAGCATGGCAAAGTCACTCTGCCAGCTCCGGGACACGGCCGGTGCTCCCACAGCCCTCCCAGCCCCGCTCCCCGTGCCCAGGGCTGCAGAAAATGGTTCTCCTCTGGGAGAGGCTCAGATCATCTTCATGTTGAACTTCCTGGCCCCTCCTTGGCCGGTGGTGGTGGTGGGACCATCCACCTTGCGGAAGGAATATTCCACGGAGAAGTTGTTCTTGTGCTGCCCCCGGCCGCGGCTCCAGACGAAGAGCAGGAGGAAGCAGAAGAGCACCACGCCCAGGAAAGTGATGCAGCCCATGGCCGTGGAGACCAGGATGGTCTTGAGGTCCAAGGTGAACTTCAAGAAGACCTGGGTGTTGTTGTGGAAGGTGTCATTGAAGTCGCTGAGGTACAAAGTCCGGTTGGCGTGGTGGGCGCCGTCGGCCGGGCGCCCCTTGACCGTCAGCGTGGCGAAGTAGGTGTCGTTGCCACCGGCGTTGCTGGCGATGCAGATGTAGGTGCCGCTGTCCTGCACCTGGGCGAAGCGGATCTCCAGGGTGCCCCCAGGCAGCACCGTGGCCCGCCCCGTGCTGCGGGTGGTGATCATGCGGTGCTGGGGGGACACCCAGGCGATGGAGGGGTCGGGCTCTCCATCGGCCCGGCACAGGAAGGACACGGACTGCCCCTCCCGCGCCGTCACGTGCTGCAGCTTCCGATCGCGGATCTTGGGCTTCTGGCAGGTGAAGTACTCGAAGAGCACCGAGTCCGGGAAGTCGCGCAGGGCGTTGCCCTGGATTTCGGGCGGCGAGGAGCACATGGGCTGCTGCCCGTCGAAGTTGAGCGTCTTCCGCCGCTGCAGGATCCAGAGGAGCCGGCAGTCGCAGGCCAGGGGGTTCCTGTCCACCCGCAGCGTCTCCAGCGTGTTGACCGAGTGGAAGGTGCTCTCCTCCAGCGTGGACAGGAAGTTGCTGGAGAGGTTGAGCAGCCGGATCTGTCTCAGGCCGGAGAAAGCCTGCGGCTCCACGGACACCAGGAGAGCGCCCACGATGTGGAGCTCCTGGAGCCGGATGAGGTCTTTAAAGGAGCCTTTCAGCACAGTGCTAATGGGGTTGTAGGACAGGTTGAGGTACCGCAGGTACACCAAGTTCCTCAAGGCAGCGGCGGGCACGGCTGTGATGTTGGTGTAGGTGATGGAAAGCGAGGTGAGGTTCAGGCCCTGGAAGCTGGTGGGGGACACCTCCTCCAGCAGTGGCCAGTTGTCGATCTCCAGCTGCAGGAGATTGTAGAGCTTCTTGAAGTTCTGGTCCTCCAGTGCAGAGATGCTGAGGTGCCGGAGCCGCAGCACCTCCAGGTTCTGGAGGTAGGACAGCGACTCGGCCGAGATGGAGGTCAGGTTGCACTTCTCAATGGTCAGCTGCTCCAGGCCCAGCAGCCCCGAGAAGGCGCGCTGGGAGATGTACACCAGGTCGTTGTCACCCACCTCCAGGCTCTTCAGGTTGCGCAGGTCCTGGAACATGTAGTCCAGCAGGATGACCAGCTTGTTCTCGCTGATGTCCAGCAGGGTCAGATTGGTCAGCTTGGTGAAGACCCCCGGGGGGATGAGCTTGAGCTGGTTCCCCCGCAGCCGCAGGGTCTGCAGGTTGAACAGGTTGCTGAAGGCGCCGGGCTCCACATTGGAGATGATGTTCTCGCTGAAATCCAGCTCCTCCAGCAGCGGGTACGGCGCCAGGTCGCCGGGGTTGAGGCAGCGGATGCGGTTCTTGTTGAGCTCCAGGACGCGGGTCTCGGTGGGGATGCCCTCGGGGATGGCGGTGAGGCGCTTGCGGTGGCACAGCACCGAGCGCAGCTGCGGGGCGCACTCGCAGCGCGCGGGGCAGGCGCCCGCCCGCGGGGACAGCAGGACCACGTGCAGGGCCAGCACCGGGAGCCACCATGTCATGGTGTGGGGCATGGTCTAGGGGCTCACTGCTGTTCTGCCTTGTGCCTGTGACAGGGAGAGAGCCGAGTCAGCGGGGCAAGGTCCTACCCGGCCCCCCAGATCACCTGTCCTGGAGCTGAGACTGGGCACTGCTCCCCAAGCCCGTGGGGCTGGGGAGGCCCTGACGTTCCCCCCCTTGCACAGCCCCCTGAATATCAGGCTAGCCCAGAGGTCTGAGGCTGTGAGGGGAGGAATATCAGGAGATGGCAAAGATTCCCAAAAGAGGCTCTTACCCCAAAATATGTTGGTGCAGCTCTCTTTATTCTGTGATGTCCATGGGGAGAGCGATGCAGAGGACGAACAGGAAATGTCAGGGGTTTATCCAGGCTTTGGACAGGGTGGGCTTCCCTGGCTCTCCACCAGCCCTGTCAGGGCAGGAAGGAGGGTCCAGGGTTATCTGATCAGAGCCACAGGGTCCCGGGGAAGGGGAAATAGAGTGCCCATGAGCTCACTGTAAC